AAATTATTAAAGACTACGTATCACTTCAAAGTTATTACATTTTAGGCATATATTATAATCGTTAATCCTTACAGGTATATATTTAAAATTGCTGTACAGAATGGGTATAATAGTACTACTTTTATTACAATTACAAAAAAATTTACGAAACAATAAAAAAACTTACAAGACATACTGGGCTGCAAAATGGAAAAGAACTATGATGTGCAATGGAGTAGCTAGCTATCTTACAATTGAACAGATGTGGAGCTAATACCGCGACTGCGCAACAGTCATATGGGCTGTTGTGCAGTAGCTCATGATAATGTTCAAGTTTGGTCAATGCTAATCTGTTTTCTAAAGCGCTAGCTGTCCATACCTGCCAGTGCTCATGAGAGGGCTTACGAAAATGAAAGTTCGCGGTATTCCTACATTCAAATGTAAAGTGGTGTGGATCACCTTCATCACCGCACTCACATATGTTAGAATTACTGAGTTTAAAGCGAAGCAAGTACGATGGAAAGGGCCTATGTCCAGTGAGGAACAGTGAAAAGGGCTAGGTCCAGTGAGGAACAGTGAAAAGGGCCTAGGTCCAGTGAAATAAGAGGCCTAGTCGAGCAGTTCAGCCACTCATGGCTGAACTGCTCGACTAGGGTCAGCCCTTCCGGATGCCAGAGACCACCATGTTCACCCATGTTCTCTATTAGCTTGAAGATTTGACTTATCGTCTAAGTGGCCCCGTCAGTACTACGCGCGCAGCCCGTCACCGAAGGACGTTATCCAGAACTGTCGAACTATTTGCTTTACCACCAACCAAGCTGCTAGCACCTTCGGCTCTGGATCTCACGCCATGCCCGATCGGTCCTATCTTATAAATGATCTTTTCTTGGGTTCTGAAACACCAGGCTCGTGTTTTTGTTTCCTCAGAGTGCTACTGCTATAGTAAAATATGCAGTAGTTAGCATGTAGACTCAAGGGTCCAAGCGTCCAAGCGTTTAAACCAAGCATTCAACAAGTCCAAGCGTTTTATAATGAAATGCCATGTGCTTAGAAATGCAATATCACTAAGTTTAGTCGAAACATGATTTAATTCCGTTTGCTTTACAACAAAAACTCTTCTATCTGGAATTCTAAGGGCATAAGAGCTCTCCCGGATGCTGATATTACACAGTTCTACCAAAAATAGGCTAACACTCTCTGATATCCAAATTCAGTTATGATCTATTTTGCTCACGTGACGTTGCTTTTCAGCAAACGTTTTAAACAGAGGCATATAATTTAACTTTAACTTATTCTCGCTTGTCTTGAATACCAGACTCCAATAATAACACAAATTTTCAATCATTCTTGTTTATTTACGCTCATCAGGTATTATAATTTAAGTTTCAGCAATACCTTTATTCATAATATCCGGTTTTTGGCATCATGTTTCTAACTTTATTGTTTCCATTTTAATTTTGCCCACTTCTCTAAAATCTCTTCACACAGTTGCTTTCCGAAACAAGAATTTAGATACATAGACTCAGTACTATTAATTTACGAAGCAGCTCACTACAACTCAGAAATTTTGTTTACTTTGTGATTTCTTTTAAGTGGCTTTTTGTGAATACTTGCTTTTACTTTCGCTATTTAATTTAGCACACAAAAATGGACAAAATATACTAGATTTATATCTGAAGAAACCAATTATTTAAATCTTACTTTATATGTGCATTATTTTCATTTTATTACTTTTAGGAAACTGTTAAATTTCTTTAAATTCTTTATAATTACCGAATTCGAAAGGAAGATATTTAATAATTTCTCCCTTAAATACTTCAAAAGCATGTTATTTTAACAATATGTGAAACGAAACTTAAGATCCTTCATAAAGCATCTACTTATAATTCCATCTTGTTATAATTTTTAAACGATAAATCAACGGAAATTGCTATTTCAAATTTTTGAATCAAAATCCCGAATTGTCTACGCAGAATTAAACTGAAAATAAATAATTTCTTTTTCGTTCAATTTGCGAAAGATTTCATAGTAAGTATTCTAAGAAATCATCATAAATGGAATGTTCCTGAACACGATGAATAAAGATTGCTCCCAACAGGTTACATAAAAACTCCAGGAATGCAAAAGTTTAAAGGAAATTCCTTTTTCTAGTAAAATAATACGTAAATTAATGCATCGATGAGGAGAACGCAGAGAGAGCAAACTTCCTGGTGTAAAACGTTTCTGAAAATGTCATTTCTTTATTGAAACCTTGCATTATTTGTATTAGTAGCAATTTTAATCATAGACATTTCGTAGTTTTTCTTCGAGTTACGTTGTACTTTCAGTGAACTGATTATGCTGAACAATAAATATTTATTTCTGTTTTGTTGCATGGATGAAAATATCAAATTATTTCTGCTGTTCAGTTCAAATATGCATATAAAATTTTCAGTCAGGCAACTATTACGTATAAATAGTTAAATTTATATCCATTTAGTAAGGAAGTGGTAATTAAAGTCAGCTCCCGATTAACCAGAGATGGATTAACCAAACCTTATCTAAAACCCCGATCAAAACACAAAGTTGGCTCATGCAAGCCGCATTGACCTCCTTACTTGCAGTGATGTTTGTGTACAAGTAAGTTAACAAAACAAGATTTAAAACTAATATTTTTCTAGGGCTCAAGACATTTATTGCCCTATTTGCAGAGATTTAAAATTTATATTTTTCGATGTTCAATATGGATTTTAAAATGCTGTAGTGTTACTATCCTTTAAGAAAATATTATACTGAGCTGAATCCGTTAACCCACCTACGTGAACGGTTTTTAACCTAGAAATTAATTAATAGGTAATATTAAATCTTTTATGTATTACTTTGCGGTTTACTTTTAGTCATGTCATTTTGTTTAGCCTTACGGCTTTTCGAAACAAGGAAGTTCACTTACAATGGCATTTTTTATTTATAAAAATACAGCCCAACTATTGTTTCTTGTATTAAGCACATATTAGTTTATCATTAGTTTTGATTAGTCATCATTATTTTCAGTTGGCGTATTTCTTATCTGAGTAAAAACAAAACATTATCGCTGGGAAAAATATTTTTTTCAAATCCTCATGCCCGATCAATTCAAAGAAATAAACTCGCAGCTATGTATAAATATTAACCCTTAAATTTCTTCAAGTAACATAAATTTACGATGAAATAATTTTATCATATCAATTTTCCCCCACCATGTGGTTTTATCTTACTTAACAACTCATTTTAAGTACCATATTTATTCGAAAATGAGACCTCAAACATAAGAACTTTCCTTACATTTTAGGATAAATTTTAAGAAGCAAAAATTTAGATCAATTATTATTTTGTCTTGCAGTAATTCCAAGAAAGAATCTTAGTTTATTATTCTCCTTTCAGAAGTTAAAATAATAAGTGTGCCGTTAGTTGCTGCCCAAACAGTAAAATAGTTATTTATTAGTTATTATTACCTGTTGCTTTCAGGCAGGATCAGTGAGTGTATTAAATTATCGGATTATAACAGCCTAGCCAATTTTACAGCAAAAATACGCCAAAAAATAGGCTGTTTAAAAATACTTTAGATGTTAAGCTGTAATACATATACCAAAATCAGACTTCAGTTTATTTTTAATCTTATAATATTTGCATCTTCATTCTCTGTTTTGTTTTGTTTGTTTACTATGTTTACTTATAGAAGCTGAAATGTACTCAGGAGCTGGTTGACAATTGAATTTAATAACAAAGATTATCATCAGAAAGATATTTACTTTATTAGATATTTATTAATCATTTTGTTGCTGTAGAGGAACGATCTGGCTCCAAAATATTTCAAATTCTCAATCACAAAGCTGTAAGATCTGTTACAGCAAGTGCACAAAAGAAAAGAATACTCAATTCAAATTACGTAGGTCGAGAGTATAACGCGCTAGCAGCGCCTCCTGTCGGCAACTCTTAATCACTACTGAACATACTCCCGACCTTGAAACCTTACGGGTTTCAAAATATTACAATTAGTATACACTGTTTTAAAGCACAATATAATAACAAACAATTGTAAGCAATAGCAATACAATGGTTAAATTTTAAAAGACACATTAAATCATAAATGCAATATAAACACTGGAAAGAAACACATTACAATATACAATACATAAATCTAATTACAATTCACAGGAAGAACACAAATGTCTCTCACATTTCTTTTTAACATTTTACCACCTGGTAATACTATGTTAATCACTCGAACTTTTTTATCTTTTCCAAAAATTATTTCTGCAATTCTACCTGTTAACCATTTTGTACTGGGCATATGCTCATCCTTGACTAACACAAGTGAACCCACCTTAACATTATCTTTAGCAAACATCCATTTACTACGTTGTTGAAGGTTATTTAAATAGTCTCTCTTCCATAACTTCCAAATTTGTTGACTATATTTCGTTATTTTTTGCCACTTTGAGAGCCTATTTTCTGGTATCTCAACAAGTTGGGGTTCAGCTATTGAAGTTAAAGGCCTCCCTATGAGAAAATGTCCGGGGGACAAGGTTTCAAAATTATCAAACTCGGATGATAAGGGAGTAAGGGGTCTAGAATTTAATACGCTTTCAATTTCTAGAATTACAGTGAGAAATTCTTCAAGAAACAGATGAGCATTGCCAATAATTCGTTTCAAATGAAACTTAAAAGATTTCACCCCCCCGGCTTCCCAAAGGCCGCCGAAGTTTGGTGATTTAGGAGGGATAAACCTCCACTCAATGTTTTCACTTAGCAGGTATTTAGTCAGTGTTTCATCTGGGTGTTTAACCAATTTATGCAATTTTCTGAGCTCAATGCTTGCACCCACATAATTCTTTGCATTGTCACTGAATAATTTTGCACATTTACCCCTGCGACTAAAAAATCGTTTCAAACAAGCTATAAAGGCATCTGAAGTAAGATCAGAGACAAAATCTAAATGGATGGCTTTGGTGCTTAAGCATACAAATATGCACACATAAACTTTGTTTAGTTTACGCTGATTTTTAAAGTGGAATGGTCCACAAAAAATCAGTTCCAACATTACTAAATGGGTAAGAAGGTGTTACTCGTTCTTTGGGCAGATCACCCATTATCTGAGTCTCAAAAACAGGTTTGTTTTTAAAACAAGTTATACATTGAAAAACAACTTTACGACACAAACATTTCTGCCATTTAAGACCCAAAATTTACGTCGAACATGATACAATAATGCATTTGAACAAACATGCAAATATATCTCACAATTATTAAAGTTAATGGATGCTTATCTGGCAGAACAATTGGATTTTTCTCATATGTACTGAGGTCAGAATGTTTCAGTCTGCCTCCAACCCTTAGAACATTGTCTTTATCTAAAAAACAGTTTAAAGATTTTACCTTGCTGTTGCTGGGCACTGAGGCACCTCTCTCAAGATGTTTTATTTCATCTACAAACTCACCTTGTTGGATTGACCTAAATAAATAGATTTCCGCTCTTCTCAACTCGCTAAATGTAAGGTGACCTGTAAGCTTTTCATTTCTAACATTATTGATAAATCTAAATACATAGCACATAACATGAACAATAGTTAAATAATTATTACTCAAGGAAAGAATATCATCAACTATAGAACTATGATTTAAAACAGTAAAGGCAATAGGAGAATGATCATTAGAGTCATCAGTTTTCTTTAGTTCATCAGAAAAGTCATCTAATGAAATTAGAATGTCATTATTGTCTACCGGAACATCAGTCTTTTCTCTCAAAAATTGGGGTCCATGCCACCAAATGTCACTGTTCAATAAAATGTCAGCACTGACTCCCCTGCTGAGGAGATCAGCTGGATTTTGCTTCCCAGGGCAGTGTGCCCAGGCACTGGTATCACTTAAACTCTGTATTTCGTTAACTCTATTGGCAACAAATGATTTCCATCGTTTCGTAGATCCTTTAATCCAATAGAGAGTTATTTTTGAATCCGTCCAAAAGAACACTAAGGAGGGCTTTTTTAAATCCACTGTTTTCTTGACTTTACTCGCTAGTCGGGCGGCAAGCAAAGCACCGAGTAATTCTAGTCTCGGAAGAGTGATTTTCCTTAGTGGCGTCACTCGACTCTTGCTAACCAATAAATTCACTTCGATGTTATTATCCTTCACAACTCTTGCATAAATAGCAGCACCGTAAGCCTTTTGGCTAGCATCGCAGAAGCAGTGTAGTTCTAAGATATCGGTTGACTCTTGTAAATTGAGCACATTTCTAGGAACTCGTAACTCTGAAAGATCAGGAACTTCGAAGCACCACTGAAGCCATATTTTTTGTATATCTACAGGTATTTCTTCATCCCAAGAAATTTTCTTCATCCATAAGACTTGTAGAATGAACTTTGCACGAATAGTAAACGGCGAAAGCAACCCAAGCGGATCAAAAATCCTTCCAATTGTACGTAGTAGGAATCGTTTGGTACTTTCGTTTTTAGACAGACTGTCCACTAGGCTCTGCTTTCCCAATATTAGACAATCTTCAGCAGGATTCCATGACAGTCCCAAAACTTTAATAGTGTTGACTTGTGGCTGTGTATCGAAACCTTCACGTGTCCAAAACTGCATCAATGTATTGTCATTCGTAGTCCATTTTCGTAGCACCATGCTAGCTTGGCTCATAATTGATGTAGCTTGAGTGGAGATCTCAAAAGCATCCGACACATTATCAGCTCCAGAAATAAAATCATCCACATACAAACAGCGGTCTAAGCATTCTGTTGTAGTCGGGAATTCTTCAGAGTGCTTTCTCAGGTGAGTTTTCAAAGTAGCAGTCAAAAGGAATGGACTGCTCGTAACACCAAAAAGAACACGATTAAATCTGTAAACTTGAATTTTACCATTTTCTTCCCACAGAAAACGAACGAACTGCATCTCTGTCCTTTTCGGCTAATAAAATTTGTAGGAAAGCTTTCTCTATGTCTGAAGTAAAGGCGACTTTGTTTAATCTGAAATTAACAAGAATGTCGAATATGTTCGAATTCAGGTTTGGCCCTGACCACAGGCAATCATTTAGACTTAAATGCTTAAAGTTATGACTGGAACTTGCATCAAATACTATTCTCATTTTTGTAGTTGCACTTTCCTCTCTAAAAAAACTGGTTGATGTGGCAAATAGAACACAGGTTTATCAACAGGTTCCTTAGGACATCTAACTTTCTCTATAATATTCTTATTTTCATAGTCTTTTAAAGTTTCAATATACTGCAAATGAAGATTTGGATCTTTTTGAAGTCTACGCATAAGTAAATTAAGTCTGTTTTTAGCAACGATGAAGTTATTATTGAGCTCTCCCCAATCTCTTTTCCATGGTAATTGAACCTCATACCGGTTATCTTTAAAACGAACAGTTTTTTTTCAAATGTTTCTAAAGATTGATCTATCTCATTTTCACTGGGATCATCTTTAATTCCTATAGACTCAAGTTGCCAAAATTTTTTAATTTCATTTTCTATATCACTATAATTATTAATTAATCCACAGTGAACTGTTCGCGTATTTTCAGTCTCTGAACTTAAAATGCTGCCAGTGGCTATAAAGCCAAAAACAGAATTTTGAAATCTTAGCTCTGAATTGGGCACTTCAACTTGACCGAATTTTAAGATCTGATAAAACACCTCTGCGCCTAATAATGCATCAATTTTTCCTCTTTTATAAAAGTTTGGATCAGCAAACTTAATGTTTTGAGGAAAATGTTCAGTCGGAACTTCTATATTATTTATTGGTATGGAGTCCGAGATTTTAGGCACGCACAAAAATTCTAAACTCATTTCAAAGTCAATACCGTTTGAAATAGAAGCACATACTTTAGAATTAATATTTATTCTCGTGTTATTTAATCCAGAAACCGCAACAGATATTTTTTCTCTTTTAATCCCTAACGAATTAGCACATTCAATCGTTAAGAATGACGTCATCGAACCTACATCACACAAAGCGCGAACTGATTTTAATTCACCGTAATAGCAATCTCTTATTAAAATATTCGCAGTAGAAAGTAAAACATTTTTGGTCTGACGCATTCCGTTTACAGCTGTGCCGGCGAAAATACTTTCTTTATTGGTAGAAGAAGAGTCATAAACAAATTTTTCAGCATTCGGATTGAGACTGACTGTCGTCTTCTCCCCCCCCTACTTCCGGCTTTGAAATATGAGCACTTTCGGATTTATTTGTTTTTCATTTTCGAAATGTAATAGCGTTGAATGCTTTCGTGAACATTTTTGACATCGATAATTAGACGAACACGTTCGAACGGAATGGTTTTTCAAACAATTAAAACAAAGCTTATTTCTTTTCACGAATTCACACCTGTCATTGACAGAAAGATTTATAAATTCCGGACACTTATATAATGAATGGAATTCTTCACCACGGCACTTTATGCATTTCAAATTTATGTTTTTCGTATTAGAAGTGGATATCATACTCGTAAGTTTTTTATGTGGAGAATTATTACTCTTTTTTACCTCCTTTATTTTACTATTTTGAAGCGTTCTCGCTTGGCTTTGTAAAAACGAAAGTAATTGTTCAATCGTACCAAATTCTTCCGAGTTTTTTAATTCCTTTTCCCACCAGTATCGAGTCGATTTATCAAACTTATCCACTATCAAATATACAATCATTATTTCCGATAAGTTTTCTACTTTGTAGTTTAAAATATTTAAAGTTCGAATACATTCGTTCGTTACATCAATTAAATTTAGAATAGAACTAGATGTCTCGCTAATACTCGGCTGATTCAAAAGGTTTTTTTTATTATAGCATTTAAAAGCTCACGTTTATTCGAATACCTATCTTCTAAAAGTTTCCAAGCTATATCGAAATTTGTATCCGAAATAGAAATAGACTGTATTACTCTCAGAGCTTCGTCCTTACAACTAGCTTTTAAATATTGCAATCTCATTGCATTACTCGAAATAGATTTGTTTTCTATTACACTAGCTTTAAACATATCTTTAAACATTATCCAATTCTCTATTTTACCATTGAATGTCGGTACCGATAGCGTCGGTAACTTAACATCCGAAAACACATTTGAATTATTATTACTCGGCACAGGAGAAACAGAATGTTCAGAATTCATCTTATTTTTTACTACTGCTAATTTACGTTTAATCATCAATAGCAACTCATCAACAATATCATCTGTATCTTCTTTATCCTTAATAAAGTTATCCAATTCTTCGGGTTTACATGTTTCGAAAATTGAATAAAATACAGATTTAAGTTCGTTAGAAATTTCATTAGTTTTGGTTTCAAATAGCTGCAACGCAACTGAATCTGAAACATCTAATGACGAAACAACTTTATCTTTATGCCGCGTCAATGAACTTTTTAACACTCTTTTTCATGTTTCGAAAATTGAATATAGATTTAAGTTCGTTAGAAATTTCATTAGTTTTGGTTTCAAATAGCTGCAACGCAACTGAATCTGAAACATCTAATGACGAAACAACTTTATCTTTATGCCGCGTCAATGAACTTTTTACACTCTTTTCCTAGTTTTTAGAGCTTCCATATTTATACAGTTATACTCTTCAAATTTAATAGAGATTAAAATGGGAGAGCTCACCTTCGATTCTCGACGGACCACTTGAACTGTACTCAGGAGCTGGTTGACTTTGTATTTAATAACAAAGATTATCATCACAAAGATATTTACTTTATTATATATTTATTAATCATTTTGTTGCTGTAGAGGAACGATCTGGCTCCAAAACATTTCAAATTCTCAATCACAAAGCTGTAAGATCTGTTACAGCAAGTGCACAAAAGAAAAGAATACTCAATTCAAATTACGTAGGTCGAGAGTATAACGCGCTAGCAGCGCCTCCTGTCGGCAACTCTTAATCACTACTGAACAGAAGCATATAGGCTTCTGATGTTCAAAAATTATATCAGCAAGAGACAATAATGTGTTTAACATATCACAAGTTCTCACTCTGATCAAAGTAAATTTTAATCCCTTTCTAATGAATAAGTGCAAAATGTAAACTCGCAATAGGATGATAGTCAACGTTCTAGTGTGATTATTACTCATTTTTACCAAGAATTTACTATGATATATTTTCTACGATATCTGGTATATTTATTCTATAGTGCACCTTTTTCTTATTCCTAGACATAAAATCTATCTATGCAATGTAAAGACAAATGATATTATATCACTGTAAAAATGCTAAAACATTATAACAAACTGTTGAGCTACATATTTATACAAATATCAGATAAACGTAAAATAAAGCATTTTCCCTAATGAAATAAATGATAACTTACTCAAAGGAAACACTGCCAGCCTATATGCAAATTTAACTTCTTTTATTTCTATCTACTGTAAGTTCATTTGCGTTTATCTATTTCAGAATGGCAGATATTAGACCAAAGTTCCGTAATATCAAATGTGTACTATAACTGCTGGCAGTGAAATAGTTACCTAAAAGTAGTGTTCAAAAAGCCGGCGATGCGAAACAAAAAAACGTAACAAATTGTTTAAAGTTCCCAAAGAAAACACAGCACAGCCCCATTGAAACGATTCTAATACGGAAAGAAATTCTTCCAACTTTCCGAAATTTTAATTCGGAGAATTTACGTATTCTTTATGCCGGTTGCACAATTCTGTGTCTTCCAGACATTAAATAATTGACTGAAATGCAGACTCAACAAAAGAATAACAAGAGAAGAAAAATAAAATCTCACTAGCCATATTCGGTTGGAAAACTTGGGCCAATGAGTTTTAGATTTAACGAAGCATGTGCCTTGTTTACATACTTAAAGTGTGCCTAACAAGAAACCAGTGACTATTGTTTCGGATTAAAAGTGGAATAAGTTTTAGGCACAACTTTGGAAGTAAAGCTCCAAAGTGTAGATCATATGGATTTCGTTTCATCATCCTTTCCTAATTATCTTTAAGCATCTTCATAGCTTTGTAATCAGAATATCAGTCTGTTGAAGCTGATATGTTCGAAACTTGTGTTCTAATCTTCTTCAGACATGGCGTTAACAATAATCCGTTGCTGAGAGTTAAGTCAAACCGTAAATATAACCTTAACGGTAAAGCTAAACTAAATAATAAATTAAAGTTAGTTGCACTCGTTCTTATACCCGTAAAATGATAAACTATATCTTGATCTTGATTCTTATATCTCTTTCTTCTTTGCTTTTCCTCATTTCAAGTAATTTTTTCAACTTTCCTTGTCGTCATCTTTTTTAATTTTTTTTATATCATAAAATTATTAAGGTTCTGTTTTAGGAGTATATTGCTATAACGCAATATCTAGTATTGGACCCATCTTTCTAAATTTATTCTAGTATTATAGTCTTCATATCTGAATTAATATGAATTTCTGTTTTCCAATTTACCTGTGTTATATTTATATTTACCTGTGTAATTTGTAATTATATATCTGGCTGTATGGTAATTTCATTTGTTCACTGAGTGTTATTCTGCTTATTTTTTAGGATTTCACTGATGTACTAATTTATTTCCTATTTATATAAATTTATATGTTTACAATTTTTACCTATATTTATTTCTACAAATTCCAGTTCTTTCCCTCCATTATAATTATATTGATTACTATATCATTTTAAAATTTTCCATCTTAATGACTATTTAAGTTCATCATTAAAAGTGACCATTTAAGTTGTTCACTGCTATAAGCTAAAGAACTGAAGGTCTGTCGATTTTCTCCTTTAATATATTTCATTATTATGAGTCATTTTGTTAAAAAAAATACTCCCTCGATTCTTTACTTTCTTTAAAGCAATTTATAGTGGTTTTTTTTTTTTTTTTTTTTTTTTTTTTTTTGGGATTTTGAGACTTAATTCTTTTCTCTATTTAACATCTTCATTTTTACAGTTATTTTTTTTAATTA